ACACACATACATACACACATGCAAAATATAGGTTCATGTCGGGCTTTCTCGACTTTGTGAGCAAACACATACTTGGCGGAGCAGGCACGCGACAAATTAATCAATAATTGGTATATCCCTCGTCGACCAGGTGGCCTGGCAACAGGAGAGTTGGAGCCGAGAAATGAGGCTACACCGACTGCGGGAGTGAGTCTTGTTGCCGGTTGAGACGATTGCGGCTACTGGAGGAGCAGGCCGGCTGTGATTGTGTGCGTCTGGCAGAAAGAGTGATCGACGCAAAGCGAAAGGAGGAAGGAGAAGAGGCTCTGTGACTTTGGCGCTGTTGAACGCGAACAAGTGAAGGGCAAGTATGGTCCCAAGAAGCACGTACATTCGGGACTCTGGCCACAAACCGTATCCTTGGCCAAATAGAACCACACAAAACCGGACCGAGCCAGACCATACCAAACCAAACCGAGCATGGCCAGAATGCGCTGTCGGTATCGATCGATCGGACCGTCGGTCTGTGGATTAGTCAGTTGGGCAGCCGATTGGACAGTCAGTCAGGAATCCGGTTGATCGGTCCGTCGGCTCGCCGCCTCGACTCTTGAATGCTCGAGCGGACAGCCGGTCGGCTGGTCGGCTGGTCGGCTGGTCGGCTGGTCGGCTGGTCGGCTGTTCGGTCAGTCGACCGACAAGTGTGCCTGCCCGTCAGTCTATCTTTGAGTGGCTTGGTCAGACGGACTGTCGGTCACTCGGTCGATCGGTCCGTCGGCTCGCCGCCTCGACTGTGGAATGCTCGTGCGGACAGCCGGTCGGCTGGTCGATCAGTCGTCCATTAAGTATGGCGATTAGTCAGCCTGTTCCTCTCACAATCGTTCCATTATTCATTTCTTTCTGCAGAGACGTCGAGTTTCCTCATTTTCACGCTCCGACTGCCGAACTTGTCTAAGACGCTCTTAGTTTGTTCACGCTCAACTGAATAGCCCTCAGGATGACATTTCTTTTCGTCTTTCCTCGTCGGCCAAACTGGAACGGACTGCTGCTTCCATTTGGCCTCGCTGGCAACGCGATTCTCTGCCGGATTGTCAGTTTGCCGGCGACGTCATCACTCCGCTTCGCAGTCAAATGCTTTTGACCGACAACAGGCCAGATATTTTATTGCTGTCTCGACCTACTCATTTGTGGTATAAGTAATGCAGTCGATTACGATAGCAAATACATGTTTGCCTCTTCGACAATCTTTCTATTCAAAGTTTGTTATGCCCAAGAGGCTTTATTTATTTTACAGTCTCCTTCCATTGTATAGAAGTTGTTTGACCTTGTTTTCGCAACATGGTCATATTGGTAGGAAGACT